TTTCTCTCTGCAAATGCTTCGCTTGTCTCTCTTTTTTCTTTCTTTCTTTCTTTCTGTAATTTTTTATTATTATGTCTTTCCTATTTCGTAAATGTTTCGCTTTTTTTTAAAATTTTTTGTCCATTTATTTTTTCTTTCTTTCTTTCCCATCATTTTCATTAGGTTTTCACGTGCATATCTGCATATAAAATCCTCAGTAACTGTCTTCAATATAATTCTTCACTTACAATTTTATTTCTTCCAGGATCTCTTCAGAGAAAACTTCAGGCGCAACAATGGAACAAATAACAAATCTTACAAGTCATATTTTTTCAGCAATCAAATTATATTTCCAGAAGAAGTTTAAGCATTTCTATATTCTCATTCCACAGCTAATACCCAAATATTGACCGATATTTGCCTAGGTATTTCTTTCAAATTCATCAGTATTTTGATATTTTGAGTAAGTTCCTTAAAAATTCTATGACACATGTAACCCACTATTAGAAGTATCTAGTAAGCTTTCTCTGATAGAATTTAAAAGAAGTGAGCTAATCGTGTGGATCAAACTCACTTTCAATTCATCCATGCGAAGCATGTTTTCGGTAAATTAGATGCCAGGTATGACGTGTGGCTGCGAAACATGGGAATTAACATAATCACTTAAAAACAAACATAGAAATGCATATAATTATCGAAAGAGTTATGTTACGGAGAAGTTGAAGACAATATCTTCGACGATCAGGGAACAGACTAAGAAAGGAGATAGGCAAATAATAAAATGGAAAAACAGGGCCAAGAGAGAAGAATGTAGAACAGTTGGAGCAAAAGGTTGGTTGATTGTTAACCAATCGGCGGCAAACCAAAGCAGCGAAAGGCAAATCAGAAGATAGAACAGATTGCTGGTAAAACATGGCGGTGTATCGCACAATCACATTCATCAGATTGTTTTTCATTTTCAAGTTTAAGGTAAAAAAATAGTTTTGTTAAGGATTTTCTATTCTTTTTTTTATTTTTCTTTATATCGGAAAATTTTTCCTGGTTCCGGCTACATATAGAAAAATAAATTTTCTAATGTTTGAGTAGTTTTCGCATTCATAATCTTTTATCAAAGAACGTTGTTTGTTGTGCTTTGCTGGTTACTTTATTTTCATCATTGATATACTTACGATTCAGTACATTTCTCCCATAAATATATAATACCACAAAACTATATATATATATGTATATATATATATATATATATATATATGTGTGTGTGTGTGTGTGGGAGAGAGAGAGAGAGAGAGAGAGAGAGATAGATAGATAGATAGATAGATAGATAGATACGCACTGCGATAGATAGATAGAAAGATAGATAGATAGATAATGCCCTGTGATAGATATTTACAAAAAACGAAATCAAAATCATCAATAATATTAATTTTTTTTCTTAGCAATTCAGCCCTGAAGATGATCTTAGATAAGTACCTGGGATAATAAAAGAAATGAAAAAAAAATATACTAAAATATTAAGAAGTCATTTAGAGAATTCAAGAGGATTAAAAATAAATATAATATGTCCAGCCTATTCAGCCAAACATGCTTGAATGAAGATATGCTGCCCCCCCCCACACACACAGAAAACAACTAGCAAATCACACGCACAAATGAAACCCACGTGTAACTGCAGAGCAAAAACCGAATGTCCCTTAAACGGAAATTGCTTACAAAACAATGTAATATATCAAACCACTGTAAAATCAGAAGATAACGATGAAAAGTTCATATAGGAGTCACTGAAGAACAATCTACGTAAAAAAAATAAATTACCTTGCTAGACTTGTTAAATGAAACAGATATTAATGCAAAACTATATACATACATGCATATATATATATATATATATATATATATATATATATATAGAGAGAGAGAGAGAGAGAGAGAGAGAGAGATAGAGAGAGCGAGGGAGAGCTGTGTGGAGATATGCATCATCTCGTGATGGCGACAATCTGTTTCATGCTTAAATGCAATGTCGATGGCTTGTCGATTGCTTTTAGACATGTTCACTTTCACCATCGGTGCATCCGGAATTGCCTCGAGTATGCTCTCCATCAAAAGACGGATCAATAATTGAATTCCCATGAACATTTTGCAAACAGAGAAAGCAGAATCGGACAACGACCTTCGAAGATAGATCAGAATCTAGACTTCAATATTTTTCTGCTTTGACAATCAATTCTGCTTCCGTTGGAAACCGGAAGCAATCCCTATTCCGACCGAAAAGAGTGCGTGTAAAATTGAAGAAATCTTCGCAATTTCATGAAAAATTACCATGTTTCCAGAAATCAGATCATCGAGCATTGCAACACTTTAAACATTTTGATGGAAACAAAAATAACGAGTATTCATGTACCTGCCGTGTTCCTTCAAAAAACGCTTAGTCATAGCTCTCAATAAGTTCCTATCTTTTGTAATTTAACTTACTTAGCTATATTTTTGATTTTCGTCTCCTTAATAATCTCTGTTCTGCCATCCATTTTCAAAAGATAGTTTGGCAGGTTACTGGAAGTTTCCTTTTGTCTCAGTTGCTTTCAAAACTCCACTACGTGTTACATTTTTCTAAGCCATCTTTGCTTATTATGTCATAGAAATTTTAATTGTCTCTTTTCGATCCTAACTATAAGTGTCAAAAACAGTGCTCTAGCCAGTTCAACTGTCAAACTCTCTGCCTTGAGCAGAGAGGAAGCCGGACAAGGCTTTGCCCTTGGGCAACGTTTCGTCTGAGGAAGTAGACAAACCCTGAACCCGTTTATGCGGGTTCGAAGGGAATATTTTTGGCCGGGCCTACGGGTTCGGAAAACCCACGGTAAACTCGGGTTTGTGCTATATACATCCCTCGTAGGGGAGAGCTATTATATATTAACAGTGCTCTAGCCAGTTCAATGGTCAAACTCTCTGCTTTGAGCAGAGAGGAACCCGAACGTGGCTTTGCCTAAGGGCAACGTTTCGTCCGGGGAGATAGACAGACCATGAACCCGTTTATGCGGGTTTGAAGGGAATATTTTTTGGCTGGGCCTTCGGGCTCGGAAAACCCACGGTAAACTCAGCCTTGTGCCACATACATCCCACATAGGGGGGTGTTAAATATTAACTATGCGTCTTTTTTGTTTAGATTTCATTAAAACTTCATTAAAATTTTCTTTACGTACATGGTATTCTCAGCATCCTTTTGTTGAACCAAATCTTCATCTGTGAAGAAATTATACATCATGCAACGTCATATAAGAGGACTGATATTGCATAATATTTCAACACTCTTGAAATTGTTTCTCACGGAATTTTCCTGTTTCTTAATTTCTTCAGATTTTTGAAGACTTCTTTCACTATTCTAATACGAGTTTGGATTTTGTAGGTGACATCTGAAGGTCTTTCTCTTGCTGACAACCGTATATTCTGTCGGCTTCCGATTAATTCAACCACGAAACTTCAAATCACGTGGGGGAGGTCAGTAAAGTTAACCTGTTCAAATGTAAGGAAGCAAAACAACAAAAGAAAAAAAAATTAGTTCAAATAACCCGAAGAGGAATGACAACACACACACACACACACACACACACACACACACACACACACACACACACATATATATATATATATAAATATATATATACGAGATATACCCAATTGCAGGTATTCAACAGACATCTGTTTTGAAATGTTATAATGAAAATAACAAGGATAGATTTTTCAAATTATTTGGACTATTGTCCTCATCTTTGTCGCCATATTTATTACAACGTTTCAGTCATTGTACGCTCCGGCCTTCTTCAGGTGGTTGGAATGTCGAACTGAATCCTTTATTTCGCTCACTGGAGTAGATTGTTCTACTTCCACGTGCCATGTCTAATGGATGTCAGTTATCAGTTATTTCCTGTAAATTGTTCTCAAGGAGTGGATAAATGCGTTAGTTAGATCTAGTGACAGGACCCAAAGAGTGTGAGTTCAATACCCGGTTATGGCAATGGAGAACTTTCAGAGGGGAATTAACTGGAGATACCTGATATCCATTAAACTAGAGCAGTCTACCCCAGTGAGCGAAATAAAGGGTTCAGTTCGACATTCCAAACAACTGAAGAAGGCCGGGGCGTACAATGACCGAAACGTTGTAATAAATATGGCGACAAAGATGAGGACAATAGTCCAAATAATTTGAAATAATGTACATAATACCTCATCTCAGAAATATAGACAGATACTGAAAGGCCGAAACGTTGTAATAAATATGGCGACAAAGATGAGGACAATAGTCCGAATAATGTAAATAGTGTACACAATACCTCATCTCAGAAATATAGACAGATACTGATAGGCCGAAACGTTGTAATAAATATGGTGACAAAGATGAGGACAATAGTCCGAATAATTGAAATAGTGTACATAATACCTCATCTCAGAAATATAGACAGATACTGAAAGGCCGAAACGTTGTAATAAATATGGCGACAAAGATGAGGACAATAGTCCGAATAATGTAAATAATATACATAATACCTCATCTCAGAAATATAGACAGATACTGAAAGGCCGATATGTTGTAATAAATATGGCGACAAAGATGACATTAGTCCAGATAATGTAAATAATGTACATAATATCTCATCTCAGAAATATAGACAGATACTAATAAGGATAGATGTGAAAGATTGGAAGAATGTAGACAATACACGAATGCGGAGTTTAGTAAAAAAAAAATATGAACAGATATAAAAGGTCGTAATAACTATTTCATCAATGAAATGAATTTAAGCAGTGAATTTGGTGAACAGCTGAAGGGCTCGAGCTGAATACAGAGTTGAGTAATTCTATCGGGATTTTAGCCTCAAGCCTGATTGACAAATCTTATGGAAGACATTTCGTAAAGCTTAGAAAGACCTCGACACAACAACTGATTTCACTTGGGCGTGTTCAGTGCTTGCGGGGTCAATACTTTCCTGATGAAAACTCATCGAATTGAATGATTGCATCAGCGTCAAGTTATGAATTATTCTCTCTCTCGTCGTCTCTCTCTCTCTCGTTCTCTCTCTCTCTCTCCCTCTCTCTCTCACTGTCTCTCTCTCTCGCTGTCATATACATTTTTCTGCATGTGATGTTTTTAGGTAAAACAAAATAATGTAAAAAGTGCAATCCCTTGTCTGTTCGAAAATCAATATGCCCAAATAAAAAAAAATTGCTACAATAACACTCACTTTTCTACATACATGCACAAATTAAAATTTGCACACGCACACAAACGACACGAGCACACAGGCGTACGCGCAGACACACACGCATATATATATATATATATATATATATATATATATATATATATATATATAAAAATCTTATAAGTATAAGAAACTATACTCGCTCAGAAAACCTTCGGTGTGTTGATTTGTAAATAAACAAGCCAATACCAAAGGGGAAAAAAAGGTATAAAACAGAGAAAGAACCATGAACATGTACGTTAACCGAAAATTATTATAACGCATACGAGTGCAAGGCCCAAAGAAAAAAACCCCGATGTGAGTACCCAAATAACTAAATAAAGTGCTCAATACAATGAGTAGAGCAGACCGAGAGGGGAAGCCAGCCTTCACTGACGATCAGCTTAGGTAAAACCTTGGTAAGATTGTCTGCTCTCTAGGTTTAACTATATATATATATATATATATATATATATATATATATATATATATTAATTGATTTAAAATGTTTTTCCGCTACACAGTTCTAACCATGTTTCAAAAATGGAAGCTAAAAGCCCAGAATTTAATTATGTAATTAAATTAAAGACATTAGTTCCATTTCATCTTCAAGCGAATTTTGGAGTAACGTTTCAAATTACTGGGTTTTAAATACACAGCTAAAAGAAAATTCATGTTTCCAAGGTTACAGATAAATCTATTTTTCTAGACAGGGGTGTCTAGGTGTTCAATATGTCTATATTTTAATGTATCAGTTATTGCTACTTTTACATCCCTACCCGCTACTAAAAGTAGCAATAACCCCTGTCTAGAAAAATAGATTTATCCCTTTTTATCACTCTTTTTCTCTTTTTTCTCTATCTCTCCCTCTCTATCTCTTTCTCTCTCTCTATCACTTTCTCTTTCTCTCTATCTTTTTATCACTCTTTCTTTTTATCTCTCTCTTTTTATCACTCTCTTTTTATCACTCTCTTGCTCTTTTTCTCTCTCCCTCTCTCTCTTTCTCTCTCTCTTTATCTCTTTCTATTTCTCTCTCTTTTTATCACTCTCTTTCTTTTTATCTCTCTCTTTTCATCACTCTCTTTCTCTTTTTTCTCTATCTCTTTCTCTCTCTCTTTCTCTCTCTCTTTATCCCATATCTGCAAAACAAAGAAGGAAGAAAAATGTTTACACGTTTATCAAACTTGAAAGATTACAAAATGTGCCATAGTAAAAAAAATATTATTTCCATGCAGGCTATTGTCCTCATCTTTTTGATTTTTATATTCTTCATATCTATCTATCTATCTATCTATCTATCTATCTATCTATCTCACTCTGCCCATATCTATCTATCTATCTATGTTCATATCTATCATTTTTAAATTTTGCTGCATGTGGTGTTTTCGGGTAAAATGTGCAAACTATTTGTGATTGTTATTATGGCGGAGTGGATTAAAATGTTTTGTTCGCAAATATGGTGACATAATGATTGGGAAATCAATGTTTGCGCAGGGCTGTGTAATTGGACTCAGTTTTCACTGAGAAAAGCAGTAACTGAGCAGTACTAAATAAGATGTTAACGAGATATGTGGACATGACCGACGGAATGAGACAATCTATCCTCGCAGATTAAATCAAGTGTCCCTTTCGAAATTCCCTGAAGGCCACCTGATGAAGGCCAAAAGACTCAACGGTTGAAACAATGTAACAGCAGACATACAACAAAAATTAAACAATACAGTTTATCTACAGAGATTGTAGACATGATTAAATTAAAGAAAGGTTTATTTAATAAAGCTCTCCTCAGCCTCCAATCGTCCCTGATTGTTGGCACCATGTCCTGGTATAATAGGACTATTGGTTAGTCTATCTATTGACGAAGATACACAGGTTGTCTTACGGAGTAGTACAAATATTTAGGACGACAATCGTTGGTCTGCGGCTCTTGCTTCATATGAGTCATGCAGAGAGAAGGTTATCACCAAAGTCGCCAATTCAATTTGAGACCTGACAACCATATCTCGTAATTCGGCGGCGACATCAGGTCTCATCAAATTTCGGCTTGAGGATGTTCTGGTTCTCCTGGACAAATTCGGTCTCATTAAATAGATTCTGAACTCTTAGAATGTTTTGATCATCTGAGTTAGCATTTTCTTTTTTATATACCTTCAACACCATGGAACTGGACATTTTCAAGTAGCTATCATTTTATCTGTTGTACGACTTCATTTCCTTTGTTAGATTTGAAGATGACATTGGCGGATGCAACCTGTCACCGAGTAACAGCGAAAGGAAATGAAAACGCAAATAACACTTCTACAGAAAGATACAGCTTACATTTCTAGAAGGCATTGTTAGCAAAAAGGGATGGCCTTTAATTTGTCACTCACAAGACGTACTGAAGACAAGTTAGGTATAAGAAAGCAACGAATAATCTAGCTAATGAGTTTGTGTAAATGGTTAGCAGAAAATAGAGAAGGCTCCATACTTTAAGAAACTATTGTGCCTCGAACCCTTACGTAAGATTGATCGCCAAAGATGCCAAAAAAATGGTCGGCTTCCTGCACCATTCCAGTAAGAACCTGACTCCTCATACTATCCTCTACTTTTACAAGAGCCGGATCAGGCCGAAAATAGGTTACAGTCATCATATTGGGCGGGAATTCTCCAGTCCTCACTTTCCAGTTTCGATAGAGTTAAAAAATGTCTCCGAGTCTTTTTTGGCGACAATTTATTTTCTTACCTCCAGCCGCTTTCGCATAGGCAGGATGTGGCCAGCCTCTTTCTGTTGTATCGCTGCTGCCATGGAAAGTTTTCAGACAATCTACATTCCCTGGCTCTACCAGATTTAACCTTCACAGTTAGGACCCGCCATGACACTTACATTGTAGCAAACTGCCCACATTCTCTCCGTATTTCATCGAAGAGAAGTCAGTTCCACTTGAACAACTTCGTCCTGTGAACCACTGCTCTGTCGAACCAACTCCCAAGAGGATGTTTCCCCAATCAGTAGAATCTTAAGCTGTTCAAATTTATGATTAACTTTCTTAATTCAAGGAAAGTAGAATCAAAGATGGATTAAAGATAAGCTTAAGTCCAAGTAGGCTCTCAAGGCCTGGGATACTCCTGAGAGAATACCTGTTCATCAAATTAGGTGAAAATTCAAGGTTTGCTCGGTGATGGTGCAATGTTACCATTTTGGTTTTCATTTAAATTTCACCTGATATTAAAACTAATTGTTCACTCAATGCCAAATGTTTCTCTGTAAAGAAAATGGCTATTATCATTACGACCATTATTATTATTATTATTATTACTATTACTATTATAACAAGTTTGATTCCATCATTGCTTTTTTATCACAAAACTCAATACTCTTTGACTATTAAAACAGTGCAAAATCAGAAATAAAAAGGAATATAACTTTGGAAATCTGTCCATATTTCTGAGATGACGTATTATGTACACTATTGACATTATTCGAACTATTGTCCTCATCTTTGTTGCCATATTTATTACAACGTTTCGGACGATTGACTCCCCTACCTTCTTCAGGTGGTTGGAATGTCGCTGGATGTCAGTTATCAGTTACCTCCTATGAATTCACATCTCCAGGTTCTCCACTGTCTTAACCAGGTATTCAACTAGCACTCTTTGGGTCTTGGGTCTTGTTAAACGCCTTTATCCATTGTACCATGTGTCCTTGAGGATATATGTGTATAAAATTCTGGGTATTATAAACCTCTGAGCCTGAATAATGTAAATAGTGAACATTGGAAATGTTTTGCGTTTGATATTGATTGCTGTGTCAGTCAACGAGTGTATGGACCTTGAATTCATCCTGTTTTATATAATATTCAATTGATTCAGCCTGGTCTAACCTACACTGCTAGGACCCGCCAAGCTACTTTTATTGTAGCAAACCAAGCACATTCCCACCGTATTTCATCGGTGAAAAGTCATTTTCCCGCGAACCATTGTTCTGTGGAACCGACTCCCAAGAGGATGGTTCCCTGATCACTACAATCTTAACCTCTTCAAGTCTAGGCTTAACAGTTATCTCACCCCACCTATAAATATAACCAGCGTCTTAACGTAACGTTCTACAACGAGTGCCCCCCCCAGGCTGTGTACAGGTGAAACATACAGTAAAAATACTGATGATGATACGGAATAGCATTAGATAAACCACACTAAGAGCTACAAAGACTCGAAGTCGCGATATCCCGCGTTTTGAAGAGACGCAGCACATGGAAAATAATTTAACTTAGCAAGCGAACAAAAACCTTTGAAAGCTGACATTGTTTTCTTTGCAATTCTATATCCCTATATTTTTTCATAGGATTAAAATAAAATCGCCACTCGAAACAATCAAAGTAACACTGTTAATTTTTATCGCAATAACAACCAGAATCGAAACAGCGGATATTCCTGCCTCCTCTTGTTAAAAGGCCGATGATAAAGGACGCGAAGCTTTGGTGCCGCTGAAAACCAAAGACTCGCCAAATGAAGCTCTCCTCATGAAGCGAGAATAGGCGAACGAACAATGAGAGCACTTTGGTAACCTGTGAAATAAAAGAAAGCACCTACTTTGATTTTCGTAATTAGTTTTACGCCGTTGCATCCGCGCTTAGGCGATCTTCAAACAAACGGTGCGTTAGTAGCGAAGAACAAGTCGAAGCCGGCCAGAGATCACACCTTTTTTTACTTTCGGAAAACAAGAAAGATTTGTGCAGGAAATCGATGCTGAATGGAACTTCCTACTTTCAGCTTGTTTTTATCTTTGACATCAATGATTTAACTGTATAAATTATTTACCTGTATATATATATATATATATATATATATATATATATATATATATATAAAGAATGTCCATAAAGTTCGTGTGCAATTTAAATTTGTAAATTATTCAAAGTGCACACGAACTGACACCCTAATATATATATATATATATATATATATATATATATATATATATATATATATATATATATATATATATATATATATATATACACATACACACACATATATATATATATATATATATATATATATATATATAAAGTTGCAAATTAAAAAATAATAATGTTTTTTATGAGGTCAATCTGAAATCAAATATATATATAAAATAAATTAATACATTCATAAAAAACATTACTATTTTTTTAATTTGCAACTTTTCTATATATACATATTAAGGAAGTATACGCGGCTTCTCATTTCTATATTATACTATATATATATATATATATATATATATATATATATATATATATATATATAATTATTATTTTTTAAAGTATGTATTCCTCGCGACACAGAAATTACATGTTTTGAAACTAAAAACTAAACTTTAAACCTAATTTTTTTTTACCATTCTCAAGCGATGTTGAATAACTTTAAAAAATGATTTACTTTTTTTAAGCTAAATAGTATTATGTAATTTAAGTGGGAAGGGGAAAGAATTACAAAATTTTAAAAGGTGTTGATTAAATAAGTCTATTGCTCTCCCAGCAGTCACTTGTACAAATCACAATATCACTGGTTCAATTCACTGTCCTCACTTTCTTCACACGTCACTACCTATAGCCAACGTTTCTCTCCCCTTTTTCATTGCTCCAGCACTCTTTTATCAGGCCAACACTGCGGTTCCCCAGCCAATCAGCGTTCTTCGCTGTTATTCTCGGTTACACAGGCAAATTGCCTCCTCCAGTTCGACCAATCAGCACACGACTTGCTATTGGTGGAAGCATTCCAAACTGTACAAAAAACCCTCATCCTTGCACATATTGCTAGAATGGCTGGACGGGAGAGTAATGCCATTTTCATGAAGCAAACTTGCTGATATCATGTGCCGCACGTTAAGGTAAGACCCTTATTTTCCTATACACCAGATGCAAGCCACTTTGGCTCGCTTGCTTCTACGGGGCTGTTCACCACACTTTTTTTTAAACTAATATCATAATTTCTGTCTCTATTCCCACTGAAAAGGCAATAGTCGGCTGCATTACTTAGTTTAGAGCCTTACTGCTAAAAATCGCCATGTCATGTGCACAGTTGAGACGAAGCCTTATTCCCTTTTCCTTTTAGACAGCTTCTTCTCAAACACGTCTCGTTTGTGGAGAAAGCTCCCAAGAACATCTTAACGCTGATCACTACAATATTAAACAGAATTCAGAAATGTCCTGAATCAAGATGTATTACAAATTTCGACTTAGATTAGAAGGAATATCAAATCAGAAACCTATGTACATATCTTCATAATCTACACTAGTTCCTCAACGTACGCTCATACGGCAACCTACTAACTCGTGTGCCTCTTGGGCCGTATCTTGGATTAAGAACAGCGTAAAATAATTTAATTAACATAGGCCAA